ACTACTTCAATGCCATGTTTGTCGGCCCCGGGTACGTCCCGCTGGGGTGGACGCCGGTAAGCGCTGCCTTGCGACCGCCTCGTCCCGGGGCCGCGCGGGGGGACCGGCGGGCAGCCCTTGGGCCGGGCCGGCCGCCCTCGCGGTCAGGACGGTAGAAATCGCGTGTCTTTTGGTAAAACCGTTTCTCCTCTTTCTGCCCAAGAGCGCTCCAGGCTCTCAGGCCACTCCTTCTTCCTTATCGTGTTCTGAAATCTTTCRTTTGCCTCTCCCCGCTTTGCTGCTGCCGCTTCCTGAGTTCCCCGTACGCGTCCGCTGGTTCCTGATACCGAAATCGGACAGACAGAAACTTTCTATGACAGTTTTGACTATTACAGAGCAGCACGCTGAACACTTGAAATATCATTCCTGTAATGGAGTGTGCCGAGCGCTGAGTTAATAGAGTTTTTATCATACACGCTCATTACCCATTCATTAACTATCCCCGCTGACTTGTTGTATATGTAATGCTTTATTTTACGTAGCCACACTCCTTATTAGAAGGGTGTATGTGGTCTTTTGCTGGTCTGCAGTAGCCAGTGTTGTAACATTTTAGATGGCCGTTCCTTGACCCCAGCTCTTGAGTAARCACAGCACTGTTGATTCCATGGCTCCTGCTTTGTAAGGCTTGCAGAGCTGAGCTGGCATCCTGCTTGCCTCAGTTACATCCTTTATCTGCTTCTCCAAGGCTCTGTTGTTCTGTTCTGCTGCCCTACTGCATCCCCTCCCTACGCTGTTTGGGGACTGGAAATGCTGCTTGGCTGGCAGCAGTCGCTGTGTTTTAAAGGGGTTTCTCAAAGCAAAGCAGCAGCAAACAAGCACAGCTGCGAGTGGAACCTCGAGGTTTTCTGCACGTTCCTGCAGGTGCCTGTCTTGGAGATTTTGCTGCTAATAGTAATAATTAGAAGTGATTAATTTAGAAATTCTTTTTTCCTTTTTATGCAAGCCAGAAAGTTATCTGTTTAYCCTGTGCTTTACACAGTACAAGGTAGAAATTTGCATTTCCTGTGCTTCAGGAAGAGTTGTAGTCGAGAATGATCCAGGTTCAGTAACTCAAGGCAACTGCCCAGAGTTTGTGTTTCAGTGGCGTGATACAAAGTTTAACACTGGTCAGCTTTCTAATTGTGGAATATTACTCAGGACAGAGTCTAGGCAGAAGAGGATCCTGATAATCATCTTAGCAGGACAACTGGGTACTCTTACTTCATGAGCAGAAGATTTTGGCCATTGTAACAGCTTACTGCCTACAAGTGTCTCTGCCCTTGCCTATCTTGCTGTAGTTTGTGTGTAAGAGAGTTGAACATTAGTGTTTACCAGTGTTGTATGTTAGTAATAAGGCTAGAGTGGTTTGTGGTATAAAATGGAGAGGAAATATGCTCAGGTTGTGGTTTTGGTTTTTTTTTTTTTTTTTTTTTTTGTATTACTATAAAGGCCACGTCTTGATTTTTACTCTTAGAACTTAACTGTGAAACCCTGCTTGTACAGTCACTCTTCCTGAGTGGCAGAAGAAACTGTTTATTTCTTTTAGCAGCCAGCACTTTCAACAGTGGGARATGGCTGTGTTGATAGCCAAGAGATCAGCAAAGAGATTATTTAATTTTGTTTTTTCCTCTCTCTGACACCTACCATTAAATAGGGTTGGACTATGAGACACACCCTGTCAGAAGAAATCAAAGATGCTTACATTAGGAAAATGCCAAGATAASCATTGCCAGTGGAGTTATGTATACATCTAACACTCCTATTCTTCTGTTTAAAGGAAAAATCTCAGGATTGCATGTATCTCCAATACTGTAAAGTGTGTCAGTCTTACAAGGCACCTCGTTCACACCACTGTCGAAAGTGTAACAGGTACAGTTTTTCTTTAAAATTGTTAAAAGTCCATATTACAGCAGCTTCAAACCTAATGATGGGCTATTACCAAAATTGGTTCTTCCAGGACTTGCATTGTGCTTTTTTGAAAGAGCTTCCAAATGAACACTATAACCCTTTCAAATACTTCCACTTTCTAGTTGTACCATTTGTATACAGTTTTGCTGTGTTTTAGTTTAATAAATGACTGTCTTAAACGTTTTCTTTGTAGTTTGAAATCAGTTTCTGTAAAAACTTCTTGATGGTATCTAACAAAACAATGCAGTCCTGCTTCAGGGGTGTGAGTCTGTGTAAATACCTAAAAACCTTCTTAAGTCCTTTTAAAATTCTGAGTCCAAACATTGACATGCTGAGAGAGTTGAAATGTCTGTTTTGTTATCTTCCCAAATGGGATTTTCACATGCATTTCTCTCTTTGGGTTATAAAACTGGGTTCAAGAGGCGCAACATAATAAACCAGACCTGAAACTGAGAGAGTAAGCTTCAGTACAGGGGTACAAAAGAAAATTAAAGGTGGGGCTTTCTTCAGCTAAACCTGTTAGCAACTGAAACACAGCTCTTTGACTGCCCAGTAGAAAATGCAG